AGTACATTCTTAAACCATTAATAAACTTCTGCCTGAAGGCCGTGATTCAGAATTTGGTTTCATTGTAACAAGTGATATGCCACACGTAAAATCTTCTAGGAACTAAAGGCTGTAAACATTTTCGGCCAAGTCTTTGATGTAGAATTGTGGTCTTTTAAGGCAGAGACCATCTGGAGAGGAGTTTTGAAGGTAGAGGTAGCAGGTAAAGTTAGAAACAGCAGTTAGTTGGCAAGATCATCAGGGAAGTAACAGGTGAAAATATAGCCTTGAGAAAGTAAAAGGAGTTTCCCAGCTTTTTCTTTTGAAACTTGGGGTTAAATAAGGGTTAGTGCAACTTATGCGGCACCGGGATTCTTTGGGTTTTTACATTTTTTTTACTACTTTTATTAAATTAGAATAGATTAGTTATAGGAATAAGTTTTTTTTTTTATTTTAGCAGTAATTGGACTTGATTACCAATATATAAGGTGATTATGGTTTTTAATGTTTAAGATTTAGGACTTTTATAAATTTTGATTAATTAGTAATTTAGCAGTTATAAAGAAATTAGGTTTTAGTCATATAAGTTTTTGTTTTGTTTTGCTGTTTTTTAGCATTAACAGAATTACTGGGCAGTGGAAAATAAATGATTGTTAGTGCACATTTTGTGTGGTAATTGTATTTACCTTTAGAACTAAGTGAAATGGCTATTATCACCTCAGCAAGCGGTCAAAAGTCCCCAGGCCGGTTTGGCCGGTTTTGAAAAAAATGCCTTGGTTGTTAGTCCTTTTTTCACTTGAAAGCACTTGCTTATGTACTCCAGATGTATAAATAAAGAACTGCTGAGACCCTCCGCAGGATACTTGCACCCTGATCAAGTGTCAGTGTCTCCTCACTCCCCCTCCCCCTCGTCCCCTCAGATTCGTGCACACCATCTGGTCCTTACAGGAACCCCTGACACGACAGTTTGCCAGAGCTGGCTCCTGGCAGACAGGGAGCTACCCACATGGCACAGCAGACCTCTCCTGCCTCGCCCACTGCTCCCCTTAGCAGTGAATTTCAGTCAGTCTGCCTGTTCTGCTCCCCTCTGTTTCTTGTGAATCCTCTCACCACCACCACCACCCCCACCTCTGGCCTGTACCCCAGCTCTTGTATGCATAAATAAAGAAATCTTAAAAAATATATTTGAAATATAATTAGAAATAAGAATATAAAACAGTACTCAGCTGCCTCTGTTGTGAGTCCATGCTCTAACTCTCCAGTGACAGCTTTGATAATGCTCAGATGAGACCAACTCTAATTACATCCGGTGGTTTCCTTAGCTTATCCTCAAACTGACCTACTCTTTGTCTCTAGCTCAGAATTTTCATCTATTCTTGGCTTTATGAGCAGGGAAGGCCCTTTCCCTGCACAACATGCTCACATGCCCATTTTCACATGGGAGTACAGGTGCCCATAGGTCTTCTCAGGACCCAGGCACCTTCTGTGAGTGTTATAGGACACCTTCCGGTCTCCTGGCTCCATCCTGTTTCCTTCCTTCCTCAGTCTCCTCTGTATCCTCTTCTCTTCCTGCTCAGCTCCACCCTCCCTTGGGTGGGGCAGGGAACCTGGAACCTCCCCCTTTCCTGGGGACCACCCTGTTACATAAGGACATCCTGACACTCAGGGTCACCAGGCCTGACCTTGCAAATATCCTCTTGTTCCATCTCCTGTGAAATAGCAAAGCTCACCAATAGCCTTCCTTTTTAAAATTTATTTATATATTTTTCACATCATTGTTTATTTTTAAACAATGTTTGCTTCCCCACCCCCTCAAGTGTAGTCCCCACAGAATTCCCTTCCCCAATGTACCTGCGCACCATCACCTCAGTCCCCTGTGCTCTTCCCTCCCTCCGCCTCCCCTGTAGCATGTCTCTGATTTATAATTGTCTGTTAAGTTTTGTTGTGTTTTGTACTGTTATTATGTTTTTCCCCTGATGTCTTATTTGATTCCCCTATATTCCTCCTATAAGTGAAATCGTCTAATATTTTTCTTTTTCCTTCTGGCTTATTTCCCTGAGCATAATTCCTTCTAGCTCCATCCATGTTCCTGTGAATGGCATGAGTTTATCTTTTTTGATTGCTGAATAGTATTCCATTGTGTATATACACCACATCTTCTTGATCAAGCCATCCATTTTGGGGCATTTGGGTTGTTTCCAAGTTTTAGTGCTACAATGAACATAGGGGTACAGGTATCTTTTTGAATCAGTGTTTTTGTGTTTTTTGGGTAGATTCCAAAGAGTGGAATTGCTGGGTCATATATTAGGTCAATTTTTAGTAGACTGAGGAAGCGCTATACAGCTTTCCATAGTGGCTGTACCAGTTTGCACTCCCACCAGCAATGTAGGAGAGCTTCTTTTTCACCACATCTTCACCAGCATTCATTGTTGGAATTTTTTTGATATATGCCATTCTTACTAGTGTGAGGTGATATCTCATTGCGGTTTTGATTTGCATTTCATATATTTGATTGAACATTTTTTCATATACCTATTGGCCATTTGCATTTCCTCTTTAGAGAAGTGTCTTCTCTTTTAAGTCCTTCTGCCCATTTTTTGATTGGATTGTTTACTTTGTTCTTGTTGAGTTGATTATAAGTTCTTTGTATAGCTTTGTGATCAGTCCCTTATCAGTTGTATGGAGTGCAAAGATTTTTTTCCCAATCAGTGGGGTGTCTCTTTGTTTTGGCTAATGTCTCTTTCATTGTACAGAAGCTTTTTCATTTGATGTAATCCCAGGTGTTTATCTTTTCCTTGACTTTCTTTGCTCAGGTGATGAGTCTTTAAACATGTTATTGAGCTGTATGTCATGTAGTGTTTTACCTATATTTTCTTCTATATATTTTATGATTTTCAGGTCTTATGTCCAGATCTTTTATCCATTTTGAGTTGATTTTTGTGTATGGTGCTAGGTAGTGGTCTAGTTTCATTCTTTTGCATGTGGTGATCCAGTTTTCCCAGCACCATTTATTGAACAAACTGTCCTTGTTCATTGCATATTCTTTGCTCCTTTGTCAAAGATTAGTTGTCCATATATAAGTGGCTTTATTTCTGGGCTTTCTATTCAGTTCCATAAGTCTATGCATCTGTTTTTTTCCAATACCATAGTGTTTTAATTATTATGGCTCTGTAGCATAGTTTGAAGTTTGAAAGTGTGATACCTCCATCTCCTTTGTTTTTGTCAGTAGACCTTTGGTAATTCATGTTTTTTTGTGGTTCCATATGAATTTCATCAGTATTTATTCTATTTCTTTGAAGAATGTCATTGAGATTTTTATTGAAAAAGCATTGAATCTTTGAATTGTTTTTGGTAGGGTGGCCATTTTAACAATGTTAATTCTTCCAATCCATGTCTTTCCATTTGTTTGTGTCTTTTTCTATTTCTTTTAACAGTGCTTTATAATTTTCTTTGTATAGGTCCTTCACCATTTGTTATGTTTACTCACAAATATTTGAATTTTTTTTGTTTCCATTATAAAAAGGATGGTTTCCTTGATTTCCTTATCTTCAGATTGATTGTTTGTGTGTAGGAAGACTACTGATTTTTGTGTGTTAATTTTGTATCCTGCCACTTTACTAAACTGGTTGATTATTTTAAGTAGTTTTTCTGTGGAGTTTTTAGGGTTCTCTGTGTATATTATCATATCATCTGCAAATAGTGATAGTTTTACTTCTTCTTTCCCTATTTGGATTCCTTGTATGTCTTTCTCTTGTCTTATGGCTCTGGCTAGGCCCTCCAGTATTGAAGAAGACCTCTTATATTGAAGAGCAGTGGTGAGAGAGGACAACCTTGTCTTGTTCCTGATCTTAAAGGAAAAGCCTTCCTTTAAGATTGAGAATTATACTGGCTGTGGGTTTGCCATATATGGCTTTTATCATGTTAAGGTATGTTCCTTCTATCCCGAGAATTTCAAGGGCCTTCATCATAAATGGATGTTGGACTTTGTCGAATGCTTTCTCAGCATCTATTGATATGATCATATGGTTTTTATTTTTTTGATGTATTGGATTACACTGATTGATTTTCATATGCTGAACCATCCTTGAGGCTCTGGGATAAATCACACTAGATTGTGGTGTATTATCCCTTTGAGGCATTGTTGGATTCTTTTAGCAAGGATTTTGTTGAGGATTTTTGCATCAGTGTTCATTAGGGACATTGGCATGTAATTTTCTTTTTTTGTGTTGTCTTTGTTTGGTTTTGGTATTAGTGTAATGTTGGCTTCCTAGAACATATTTGGTATGTTTGAAAGAGTTTGTGTAAGAGTTTGTGTAAGCACTAATTCATTGCTGAACGTTTGGTAGAATTCATTTGTGAAGCCATCTGGGCCTGGGCTTCTGTTTTGGGGGAGTGTTTTGATTATTGCTTCAATAATGCTGCTTGTAATTGGTCTGTTTAGGCGTTCTATTTCTTCTGTATTTAGCTTTGGATGATAATATCATTCTAGAAATTAGTGCATCTCTTCTAGATTGTTGAATTTGTTGGCATATCAGTGTTTATAGTAATCTCTATTCTTTTGATTTCACCGGAGTCTGTTGTGATTTCTTCTCTTTCATTTACAATCCTATTTACATGTGTTTTCTCTCTTTTTTTCCTCTGTGAACCTGGCTAGAGGTTTGTCTATTTTGTTTATTTTTTCAAACCAACTTTTGGTTTCACTGATCTTTTGGCTTGATTTTTAAATTTCTATTTTGTTTATTTCTGCTTTGATTTTTTTTTTATAAAAAAAGATTTATTTATTTATTTATATAAGCACTGAGTACAGTCAGAAGCGTGGGAGGGTGAGAGAATTCACCAGAGCCAGAGCAGGGAGCAGAACAGGCAGACTGACGAAGTACACTGCTGAGGGGAGCAGCAGGCACACAGCAGGAGAGGTCTGCTTTGATTTTTATTATTTTCTTTCTTTTACCAGATTTAGGGGTTTTTTGTTGTTCTTTTTCTAGTTTGTTTTTTTTTTTTTTTTTTTTTTTTTGGTCGTGCATCTGCCTTTATTGTGAGCGGCAGGGGGGACACGTCTGGCAATAATACAAAAAAATTAATTTACAAAAGCGGGAATTCCGTGAAGCCTCCTGGTGGGAACCTGTGGGAGCTCAGACATAGATGCCGACCCAAAGAAGCAGGAAGAGGACGCCAAAGCCCATGAAGAGCGAGGCCACCAGGGAGATGAGGAGCTCTTTGTAGATATCCCGAGTGTACTTGGTGGAGGTGACCTCGTAAACGAAGAACCATGCAGTGAAGAACATGCCAATGGCCAATAGCACCACGGTCAGGTGAGGGAAGACAGCTGGGTTGACCGGGCTGGTGTATCTGCTCATGGCCTCGAGTTCCATTTTGCCGACCACAGGGTAGTCCGCCGCTCCGCACCGGAAGAACTCTTTTTCTAGTTTTTTGAGATGTGAGATTAGGTTGTTTCTTTGAGCTCTTTCTTGTTTCTTGATGTGAGTCTGTATTGCTATGTATTTTCCTCTTATTACTGCTTTTGCTGCATCCCAGACATTCTGGAAATTGGTGTCCTTGTTTTCATTCAACTCAAAGTATTTTTCAATTTTTTCTTTGATCTCCTCATGAGTCCAGTGGTCTTCCAGTAGTGTGGGTTTCAATCTCCATGAAGTGGGAGGGTTCCTTGTTTTCTTTTCATGATTTATTTCTAGTTTGATGCCTTTGTGATTACAGAAGATAGTTGGGATGATTTTGATCTTCATGTGTCTGTTGATATTTGTCTTGTGGCCCATAATGTGATCGATTCTGGAGAATGATCCATGTACCCTTGAGAAAAATGTGTACTCAGATATTTTTGGGTGCAGTGTCCTATAGATGTCTGTTAAGCCCATGAGGTCTATGTCTTTTTTAGGGCTCTAGTGTCTGTTTGTTTTTTGATTCATCGATCTATCCATTGGTGAGAGTTTGGTGTTGAAGTCTCCTATTTTATATGCATTTTCTTTAATGTCTGTTTTCAGACATATTTGTCTGAATAATTGTCTAATATATTTTGGTGCCCTTCATTTGATGATGAGTGTTACATCTTCCTGATGTATTGTCCCCTTGATCATAATGTAGTGTCTGTCTATGCCTCTTTTTACCTTTTTTAGTTTGAAGTCTATTTCATCTGATATAATTATAGTTGTTCCTGCCTTCTTTTTTGATTCATTTGCTTGTAGGTTTTCCAACCTTTTGCTTTCAGTCTATGTTTTTCTTTTGTAGTTAATATGTTTCTTTGAGACAGTAGAAGGTTGGATGTTTGTTTTTTAATCCAGCCTGCTACTCTGTGTCTTTTCAGTGACGAGTTTAGTCCATTTACATTTAGAGTTAATATTGATATGTTGGCATCTGTATTTGCCATTTTGTTTGTCTTTTTGTGATTTTGTTCCTTGCTTTAGTCTGTTCTTCTTATTCATTCTCTGTTGGTTTTGGTTTTAGGACCTCTGTAGAATTTTTTGGAGTGGGGCTTAGTTGTAATAAATTTCTGGAGTTTCCACTTGTCTGAGAAAGTCCATATTTTTTCTTCATAGAGGAAGGAGAGCTTTACAGGGTCAAGTATTCTTGGTTGGCATTTGCTGTCTTGAAGTTTGTTGAATATGTTACTCTATTCTCTTCTTGCCTGTAGTGTTTTTTTGGAGGATTCTGATTCAACCTGATTGGTTTTCCCTTATTAGTTATCTGTTTCTTCCCCCTTGCTAGTTTCATTATATTTTCCTTGTCCTGGATTCTTGCAAGCCTTACTATTATGTGTCTTGCTATAGTTTTCTTTTCATTGTGGTAATTGGGTATTCTTCTCACTTCTTGTATGTCTATATTCATCTCCTTTTTCATGCTTGGGAAGTTTTCTTCAATTATCTCCTTGAACAATTTCTCAGTTCCTTTGTCTCTCTCCTCGCCTTCTGAAATGCCTATAACTCATATTTCCTTTCTTCATGGAGTCTGATAATTGCTGAAAAGTGTCCTTTTGCTTTGTACTTCTCTCTCTTATCTCTCTTCGTTATTTTTATTTCTGTATCTTCGAGAGTACTGATCCATTCTTCCATTTCATCAATTCTTTTTTCATTGCTTTTCCCAGATTTTTTTTGCCTCCAGTAATCTTTTAATCTCTTGAGTTTCTTTTATTTCCTCTCTTAAGGTCTCATTTTCATTTTTCAGTTCATTGATTATTTGTCTCATGTCTTTTTTTTCTTTTTCATTTTCTTTATGCCTTTTAATAATGATTTTTATTAATTCTCTATCTGACAGGTAAAGAAGTTCTTCCATGTCATTGTTCAGATCTGGTGACTGTTTTGCTTTTTGTGGTGGGTCCTTACCCTGCAAGCTTGCTTGGTTATTTATATTTTCCTCTCCCTGCTGTTTTTTTTTTCCCTTCCTTCTTTCCTTCCTTCCTTCCTTCCTTCCCTCCTTCCCTTCCTTCCCTCCCTTCCCTTCCTTCCTTCCTTCCTTCCTTCCCTCCTTCCCTCCTTCCCTCCTTCCCTTCCTTCCTTCCTTCCTTCCTTCCTTCCTTCCTTCCTTCCTTCCTTCCTTTCCTTTAATAGAGGCATGTTTGTTTATTTATTTGTTTGTTTGTTTGTTTGTTTGTTTGTTTGTTTTATACATGCACTGGGTACAGTCAGAAGCGTGGGAGGGTGAGAGAATTCACCAGAGCCAGAGCGGGGAGCAGAGCAGGCAGAAGGACCGAAGTACACTGCTGAGGGGAGCAGCGGGCAGCAGGAGAGGTCTGCGCGCCATGTGGGACCCTCCTCTGGTTGCCGGGGAGCAGCCGGGGATCGAACCGGCATTGCAGAGGCTGCAGGCAGCTTCGCAACCCAGCGCTCAACCGCTGCGCTACCGGGGAGGCCCTTGCTTTCTAATTAGCTCTATGCATTGGGATGTTATGCCACTGGTGCTGGTGGGCATCTCTTTGGGGGTGCTCCTTCAGGGGTATTAGAAACTATTTACCAGACTGAGTCTACCCTTAGGCCAAAACTCCACCAGGGTGTTGATGCTGTGGCTGTGTTGCTGGGCACTCTCTCTTGCAGATCCCTCCCTCTGTATTTACTTATTTGCAACAGGGACGCCAGCAAGGTGTCCCTCCCTGCCTTTCAACTATCAGCTAGTTGGTGATTTTGTTCTGATCACTAGGTGGTGACAGAGACCTGAAAGTTCTGACCTGTGCTTTTTCCCAGTATTTCTCTGGGAAAGGAGGGTGCAGAGGGGAGTACCTCAACACAGGGGCTATTGCTCTTGCTTGGTGCTGTGTCTGCCCATGCTCACCCGATGCTGTGCCCACAGCTGTGTGGGTCCCGTGCCCTGAATTCTGCGTTCTAGTTCTCAGTTCTAGGGCTCTGGGATCACCAGGGCTGTGTCCCATTCCCCAGATGCGATGCCTAGCTCTCTGTTCCAGAATGCAGGCTGTCACATGGGATCTTCAATGTCTTGCTCTATGCCATTTCCCTTCTCATCTCCATTTGCATGGCCAACCCCTTCTCAGAGCCAGAGGTGGTTCTGGGATCCCTGGCTTCCAACTATCAGGTATTTAGTGATTTTGTTGTGATCACTAGGTGGCGCCAGAGATCTTTCCTAGTATCCTTCCAGAAATGTTCTTTTTTTGTGTAGGTCTCTGGGGAACAGAGTGGGGGTAGAATGGCGGGGGTGCGGTGCTGTGTCTGCCCTTTGCCCCACTGCTGCGGGGATCCCATGCCCCGAATTTCACGCCCAGGTTCTCAGTTCCAAAGACCTCAGATCAGGGTCACTAGTTGTAGCCCAGTTCAGTGTAGCAGATATGGTGCCTTTTGCACCCTGATCCTGTGCCTGGGAGCCTGGTTTCTGATTACCCAGCGAGGGTCATTCACTGCAGTGATGGCTCCCATGGCTCCCACAATCCTAGGTTGCAGGCACGGGGACCTGGGCATCTGCGATGCCCATGTGCTTTTTGAGCACATGCAATTTTACTGGCTGGCCTTTGACTATTTGCAGGGAGTCTTTCCAATGAGTCCTTATCTTCCTCTAATGGCGCAGAGTTTTCAATTACCCGGTGCCATTTGCTCACCTCTGTGGCGATTCCCTCATGGTTCCCCACAGTTCATAGTCACGGGGTGAGGTGCCTGCAGTAGCTCTTTTCTGCTTTCTGTCCTGCTTGATCTCTAGTTCTTGTTTTTTTCTCCTCTTTGTAGGTCAGAGTGAGCTAACTTCGTGGGTGGGGGAGGGACGCAGGGTTCTCCTGCTTTCCGCTCTTGTCCTCTGCTGTAGCAATTTTCCTCATATGGCAGTTTGCCAGCATTGCCAGTTTATCTTACCTGTCCCGGTTCTCCCAGGGACCTGCCTCTTTTTCTCCTATTAATTGTTTTTATGGGAGAACTTACTCCTAGAATTTCTTCGCCACCATGTTGATGGACCTACTCCAATTATGATTTTTTTTAAAGATTTATTTACGCATACAAGAACTGGGGTACAGGCCAGAGAGTGGGGTATGAGAGGATTCACCAGAGACAGAGCAAGGAGCAGAAAATGCAGATTGACTGAAACACACTGCTGAGGGGAGCAGCAGGTGAGTCAGGAGAGGTCTGCTGCGCCATGTGGGTTACCTCCCTGGCCGGGAATCAGACTCATGCTGCAGTGGCTGCAAATCGCTTCATGGGTTGTGTCTTAATCCCTTGCACCACCTGGGAGGGCCCCCAATAATGATTCTTTAATTGAAAAAAAAAAAAGACAGAATTTATCAAAATAGTTTGAGAAAAACCCTGATTATATACTGCTTACAAGAGCTGAGCTATAAATATAAAGATACTTAAAACTGATGGAAACAGATATGCTCTGAAGATAGAAATCATAAGGCTATTGGAGTGGTTCTATCAATAACAGCAGGGGAAAAAGGATTACAAAATAGAAATAGAAAGTTCACAATTACAGACCAGAAGGAGACCATAGTTTCCTGGGCAGTGGTAGGAAGAGAGGCTGAAATATAAAGGCACAAAAGGAAACATTTTAGGATGAGGAGGCTGTGCTGTGTGCTCATTATGGGAGGGGTTCCATGATCCTTAATGATTGATATTCCTCTAACCGTCCATGTAAAATTGCTGAATTTTATTTCACACAAAGTCCTTAAATAAAAATGTGGAGAAAGAAGACAAAGTAAAAACACTTTGGAGAATTAAAAGCAGAGCATTCATTGCTAGCAAGCCTGTCTTGGGGAATTTTCAAGGAACTCTTCCAGGCTGAAGGGAAATGACACTAGATAATAACTCACACCTCCTGGAGTGGGGGTGCTGGTCAGGATGGAGTGCCCCAGGAAAAATGCAAACAAAGTATCTGTGGGAGTGGGGATTCTGATAAGAAATATAAGGGACTGCAGAAGTAGCCCCCGATTATTCAGCTTTTGGATTTCAGCATTTTCAGATCTTCAGCAATTCTGGGGTCAGGGATTTCTGTTCCCAC